TCGTAATTCGGAAACATTAGTGGGAGTGGGCATCAGTTTGATAGCTCGTATGTTGTCAGGATCCGGTCTGCGACCGTCGGCACCAAAGATGAATCCCAAATACTTTACCGACTGCAATAGAAACTGGCATTTTTCTGGGCGTAACCGGAAACCATTGTCACTGATGCGTTGTAGTACCAATGTCGTGCGTTCCCGTAGCTGTTCTAACGTCTTCGCAACAATCAAGATATCATTGAGATAAGCTGCAACCCCTGAGATATCTGACAGGATAGTATCCATTAGTTGTTGGAAGATAGATGGGGCAGTCTTAACTCCAAAAGGTAGACGGTTATACTGGAACAACCCGCGATGAGTGTTGATAGTAAGCAGCTCTTTAGATGCTTCATCGACTTCCACTTGAAAATAAGCATCAGCTAGGTCAAGCTTTGCGAAGAACTTTCCTCCATTCAGCATAGTGAACAGATCTGCTGGGACTGGCAGAGGATAATGATGCTGTTCTAGAGCTGCGTTGAGACCTGTAGAGAAGTCAGCACATATACGTATCGTGCCGTTGGCCTTCTTGATAACGACTATAGGTGCTGCCCAACTGGAGTAAGAAACGGGAGTAATAACTCCTTGTCGTTGAAGGCGATCCAGCTCTTCATCTACTGTTGCTAATGTAGCATACGGTACCGGTCTCTTTGGACGAAAAGCAGGCTTAGCCCCATGTTTCAACCGAAGTGTTGCTTTCATAGTAGTGCACCGACCTAATCCAGGTTCAAAAATGGTTGAAAACTCTGTCATCAGCCTCTTCGTATATGCTTCGGGGTCATATGGTTGTGTAACCAGGTTGCATATGGTATTTAGCGGGACATCAGCCAATTTTAGCTGGTCGAACCAATCTAAACCAAGTAAATTTAGATCGGCTGGCGTTATATAGCATACCCCAGTAAACGACGAATCTCGGAAAGCAACTTTACATTCCAATTGTCCTAACAGACGAAGATAATTACCACATGCTGTACGAGGCTTTTGTGTTGTGTGCTGCAGGCTTGGGCTACCCAATTTGGTCCAATTTCTGCGTGAGAGGATAGTGACATCAGATGCAGTATCTATTTGCAATCTACACAAATAACCGTTAATATTAAGAGTAATAAATTTCCTCTCACCTGGTGATGAGCTTTGGCAGGAAGATATTAGGCTCAATGCATTGGTACTGGATCTAGGAACAGGCTTCTTAGCACTTCTGGATCGCTTTGGCTTTTTCTGTAGGCAAAAGTTATCTTTATGACCGATGACTTTACACTTCCTGCATCTATGCTGCCTAAATGGGCAGTTCCGTACATAGTGCCATGAGCCGCAGTGCCAGCAAGCAGAAGGGGGATTCATTTTGGGTTTTTGGGCAGAATTGGAGCGGGATGAACTGGGTGTAGCATGGGCAGACTTGTTATGATAAGGTGGCTGCTGTACCAAATGAATTTCAGATCGGCATGAACTACCACTCTGCACTATCGTTGAGTCTCGTTGCAGGTTAGTGAGACGTTGGTACTCATGAGCCATATCATTAAGCGTAAGCTTCGGATCTTGCTCCAAACGGCTTAGTGGCCTCCTTCTAATGTCACTGAACTTACTCGACTGGAGGCTGCAGATGAGTATAAGGGCTTTGAACTGATCTTCCGACAAAGACTTCAACCGAAAGCGTTCGCATTCACGGTCGACGATGCCCACATGTGTAAGAAAGTCATCATCTTCGTTCATAATTAGCTTCAAACATCGATATCGAGTGTTAAACAGTGACGAGTTATCGCCAAAGTGTTGGCTTAAAGTCTGAACAGTCTCAGAAAATGAACAATCTCGTGGGTTCAGAGGCAGAATCAAATTGCAGTACTTATCCAGCTCACTTGCGCCCAACTTTCGAAGTAGCAGCCGAACCTTCCAAGCATCATCTTAGTTGGCGAAATCAAATTTAAATAAATCTTCATAACGCTGGAACCACATGTCAAAAGTGACATTTGCATCAGGATCATAATGAAATTCAGCTATGCTATTTGCGATGCCGTCGACTGATGGAGCTGTGGTTGCATTAGATGAGCTGGGCTGTGTGGAAGGGGAAATCTTCATGTCTGTCAACATCTGCATCAGTTTCAGCTGCTGCTCAAGTAATAATTCAAGTTTGGCAGGATCCATATTTCCAAAAGCACCGTCGCCACTGATAAGTTCGTCACTTAGTATGCTTGAGGCTATTACGACTTGACCTTAGTCGATAAACGCGAACGAGACTTTTACCAGCTTCCAGCGAGGCTACCGTGAATACCCAAAGTCGAAATAGAAGGCTTTGTAAGCGTAGAAGTATATTCTACAAACACCCAGCAATCACAGTACAATCAAGCATACAACTCTCGTTTATTTATACAACATAAGAACGTCCTTGAGACAGTTAAGAAAATAGCATACTAAAATGCACAGCAGCCAATCACAGCCATGGATTTTCCAGGTGGGAATTGAAATCTCAAGGTCATCTGATCAGCCCATGCTGGCAAAACGTGAAAACCAAAATACGGCATTATCAAGCGAATTTTGGGGATCTAACATCCCCAACATCACTATACATGGATTGATCTCATCACTTACACCAGCAACAGCACTTACATAGCTACCTAGGTATATGATCATGGGAACTGATTGCGGATTGTGTGACTTGGGAATCATCACACAGTGACAATATTATGCGCATACTCAAGGTCGAAAAGTCCTTCTGCGGGTTGCAGATCCACACTACCATTATCTACATCCATCAGAGCCGTCTATAGAAGGTCATCGATTGTAAAGTTGAACAGGAATGGTGAAACTGGACAACTCTGCCTAACTCCACTGCTTGAATAAAACAATGCAGAGGCAATTCCGATTCCTCATGGTGGATCTTCCATACCAACCGATTCCGTTAAAGCGCTGAAAATTCGCTTTTCGTCTTATCGATTTCGTAAACAAACACCCTCGCTACGAGGTGATGATTAGGACTTCCGTGACAGTGGCATCTCAAAGAGAGTGGACTCCCCCTACTTTCAGCCATACCAGGGAATTTGGCGGTGATGACATGATAACTATTATCAATTTATCAATGTTGAATTTTATTATTGGATGATCAATCAGTCAATTAACAGCAACGTAGAACTTCGTACGTACGTACGTACATCAAATCATGTTGCCATACCACATTAGCACAGAGATGTTATTGTCAATTCAGTAGAAGTATTAGCAGTAATCGGAGAGATTATGGTTCGAAGATATTATTCAAGAAGTAGAATCTAGTGAAATAAACTTAAAAGTAAAAGATAAAGGTGATGAGGAACTCTGAAGGTTAGGATTTGAGATAACACAAAGAATGAATGCACCTGCACCATTGCAAACGGTTTCGAGCCATGTCATTCAGGGTCTCTAATCATCGACTACTATCATCTCACGGACCCCAACCAGGTAGTCGACACCTACCGACATGACTTAGTCCACTTGTCAGTGACTTCATGGATTTCTTCCATGTTTTGCTCTGGTCGCCCCTAGCTTTCGTCCAACCTATTCTTACATCTCAAAACACAGCTCAACCAGGCAGTCGGTGGTTAGTCATTCGTAACACATGTCCCAACCACCTCAACTGATGGAGTTACAATACTTAATCTATTGACCTACCATCCTTACATTATTAAATGAACATGAAAACATATATATGAAGTGTATTGAAATGAATTATACAACCAACCAATCTTAAAATAGTCGATGTGTAATTCAGTTCAATAATACCACGGTTATTCATATATTATTATGTTCAAAATTATTTCTTTACTGTTATATCACTGAATTCCAACACATTCTTAGTTTGTCTGTGTTATTATTTATGTCTTATTGTTAATTATATGAGATTTTGGTGAACGTGTACAACACGTAATATGTGTCAATTTGAAAATAAAACCTTAACAGCTTTTCTTCGATGAACTAAATTCATAACATATGAAAATAGTGAAGAGAAAAAGGAGACTTGTTTAAAAACGTGAAAAGCGATAAGTTAAAAATATTCACTACAACAAGACAATCTACTCATCAATAATCAATCAATATGAACTTGAATAATAATTTGACACATATAGTTTTATGATAACACACGTTGCGAATATTGTTCAAGAGAATAAAATATTCACAATTTTGAAGAATTTGATCAATGTACACATATAGTTTAGTTATTTTCTTTCTATTACGAGCCTTGTTGTTAGAAAGGAATTCTTGTTCGCTCTAAAAACTTTCGGATAGATTTAAATCCGTGTAAAGTCATCAACAAAGTTTGCTGAGTATTGCTTCCATTAACCAAAAAGCATATATATATATACTTACTTACGCCTGTTACCCCCAATGGAGCATAGGCCGCCCACCAGTTTTCTCCAACCAACTCTGTCCTCGGCTTCCCTCTCTAGTTCTGTCCAATCTTTGTTCATTCCTCTCATATCTTTCTCTATTTCTCGGAGTAATGTGTTCCTTGGCCTTCCTCTTTTCCTTTTGCCCTTGAGGGTTCCATGTGAGGGCTTGTCTCGTGACGCAGTTCGGTGCTTTTCGTCAGTGTGTTTCCTATCCACTTCCACCACTTTCTTCCCGATTTCCTCCTCCACTGGGATCTGGTTTGTTCTCTCCCACAGTACGTTGTTGCTGATCATGTCTGGCCAACGAACCCGAAGTATTTTGCGTAGACAACTGTTCATAAATACTTGTGTCTTCTGGATGATGCCTTTCGTAGTTCTCCAAGTTTCCGCTCCATACAGTAGAACTGTCTTGACATTTGTATTGAAAATCCTGATTTTGGTTTTGGTTGAAAGTTGTTTGGAGTTCCAGATATTTTTCAACTATAGAAATGCAGCCCTTGCTTTGCCGATCCGCGCCCTCACATCTGCATCGGATCCACCTTTCTCGTCGATGATGGCATATATATATATACACAGTTAACTAACTCTCATAGTTATGACAGACATAAAATAGCTTACTTTATCACGCGGTAAATGGAAATGTTCACAACCATAATCCAATATACAACCAAGTGGCCAACGCTTTTAAATGGAAAACAAAACAAGATGACATAAAACTGGACGAATTTTATTTGTACATATAATAATAATATTAACTATATGAATACAACTCACTTATCAAACTATTGGGTTTGAGTCACATACCGCTTGTTTGAAAGGTTAGTAATATTAACCAGTTCTTTCTCCTTGAATCAAAGTAGATGAATTGTTAGTAACACTGAACAACTACCTCAGCCTCGTATAAGACTTCTCAGTAATGCAAACCTATAACCTTCCGGTCACATATTGATTGGATGGTTAATCCTTAAAAAGGATTTAATCCTGACCGATTTGGTCTAATGTGATTTTATGGGTATGAGGGCGGATTTTAATTCCCGGCTGCTCACACCGTGGAAGGGTTCTGGTTGTCAGAAGGAGCATCGGCCTCGTGATTTCCGAAGGAACTAGGCTGACATCATGAGATGACTACCTGGTTGGGGCCCGAGAGATGAAAGTAATCGACGGTTAGAGACCCTGGAAGACATGGCTCAAAACCGTTTGCAATGGCGCCGGTGCACCCATTGTTTGTGTTCTCTCAAATCCTAACCTTCTGAGTTTCTCATCACCTTTATCTTTTCTTTATAAGTTTATTTCACTGAATCATACTTCTTGAATAATATCTTCGAACCCTAAAATTTCCAATTACTGCTAATATCTCCACTACCGCTACTACTATGGGATTCGAAGTGATAATTCTATCTCTCCGTGCTAACGTGGTATGGCAACTTGAACTGATGTACATACGTACGAAGATCTATGTTGTTGTTGTTGTTGAGTTGACTTGACTAGGTTAGTCCTTAAACCGTGAGGTTGTAATCCAATAATTTACATTTGCAAATCTAATCATAATTTCCTTAGTAATGTTACAGATATGGGGCTATAACATAAATAGATTGAAAGTGAAACTCTACCACCGGGCACTGAATAGAAGTTTCAATGATTAAGTGTTTATCCCCAGACCTGAAAGTACTGCGTTCGATTCGTAGCAAGGTCGTAGGTGCGTACTATTGAAAAGTTCAATCGTACGACGAACTAGTTGTCTTGTGCTTCCTGATGGTTTTTTAACGGTACCAACTGGGATCGAACTGAAAATAAAGTCTCAACAATGTAAACTACTTACCACAAAACATCATAAAATAAACCATTAAAAAGCATTCGCTTTACTATAAAGAATAACTCCATGAAAAAAATGAAATAAAAAAGATTTCAAACTAATCACCTTTCCAAAATAAGCTGAAATGATATGACATGTTGAAAGAACCTCTGGTGTAACTGATAAACGAACAACAAATCTCTCAGATTCTGGTAATTCTCTAGCCCGTTGACCACCAGGTAATGCTTCCATTTTAGTTTTTAATAAAATCAACTTTGCTTTAGTAGCACGAGCATGATCACTTAATGGTTTGACTGGTTGAGTATCATTAGTGGTTTTCTTTGGAATTATTGTATGTGAAATAGCTAAATGAAATAAAAGTAGGAAACAATGAATAGTATACAAAATATTTACACAGTATTATCACGTTATTTTGTTTTGAATTTGACCAATTTGGTCTCGCAAGCTGTTACGGGTATGAGGGCGGTTGTCACTTCCCGGCTGCCCACACCGTGGAAGGTTGTTTCTTGAGGGACCTGAAAAGGAAGGTAGATTGGCGTTGGTCTTGGAGACCCGGTAGCGTGATCGCAGAGCCCAGGGGACAACTGCTTGAGGCCGGTCACGCAAGGCCCTTTTATGAGAAGTTTCTTGAGTGTTAGCTCCGCTCTTGAAAGCCCTTAGTGGGCACCCTTACCGCCGGAGACGGAAATCCGTGAGGTAAGGTGAGATGTGACATTTTTAGGGTCGACCTTTTCTAACCCTTCCTTCCTTGTGAGAAGGCAGCATCGCTGCAGATGCTGCTTGTTGTCCGAGGGAAACACCTTACTGCTGTCACACTCCTCTGCATTAGTCGGCAGTACGACTTCGCCCTCAGACCTTGGGTAGCTGCTTTTGGTCTCAACGTTCTCCAATCGACCTGCCTGGCATGGTAGGACCTTCAGGAACATATGTTCCAGCCAGTATAGCTCGGCTGGGTCATCACGATAGTCGAGCCCGACCACCACGTCAAGGTATCAGCTACAGTCGGGGGTTATTTTTTACAAGATGCACATTATGTGTGTAGTGTAGTGTAGTAGTATGCAGTGGAATAAAATGCATGAATACATACATTGACAATAGTGTAAGTTTGATTTTATTGAATTAAATAAAATGAGCCTGTTGACTTCATAGTATCATCAATACTTAAATTTCAAAAATTAGTTTAACACTTCAAACAACTACTCATCAGATTAAATCTCTATCGCTATGTTTAGTTAAAAATATACATTGAAATTCATATATTTGTTTACCTAAGTCAGCGGAATCATATGATTTATACACACAATTTATTGGCACATACAATTGGTCGCAAGTAAATGATTTTTGAGTCGAAAACTTTATTCTTTAAAAAAAAGATAAACACGAGAGTGTTTAACACAAATGTTTAACTGTTCAACTTTGAAAATAAGATATCAATTGAATCTATTATTTAAAGTTGATGAGAATTCTGAGAATATCTCACGTCAAAGTCTCAAGAGGCTCATTAAACGTCAGGGATTATTTTATTCAATTCAGTGTTGAGTAGAAGTTTCTCAGATACATCTAAAAAATAAAAAATCATGTATGACGATTTTAACTGGATATTTATCTATACCGTTGACATGCTTCGCGAAAGTTCTAGAAGCCCAAGGTCACACGTTTAACTGAAAATATCATTGACCTTTTGAACACAAACTAATCTCAGGATGAAGATCTTATTGATATTTTCTCTGTTGTTCTAGTTAACGTGTGAAAGTCGTTTTGGATTACAGGTGTTTAAATTCTGTTGATGTACCTCCGATTTTGAATGGTTAGTATGATGTGGCTAATATTTATTGTAGCAATATGATATCTGAATGGTTGAATCGCGTTTTAAAAAAATGAAGATGCTCCAGTGTGAATGTTCATCACATGACATGATTCACATGACTTCGCAAAATATTTAATTTAGAAATTTGAAACAAAAAATTAAATTTGGCACTATGACAGTTCAACCTTCACATGAATTGAATGTACTTTTTTCAATACTTCTTATAACTTATTAATAACATGTTATGCTGTGCATATGAATGATAACAATATTTAGGTCAATTGCCAGCAATGATGTGTATCAAGCCAGAGTCGTTCAAGACCTACCAGTGTTTGGGGATTCTGTTTCAATGATTGTATAAAGATGACCTACATGATAATTTGTATTTAGTTCATTGCAGAGTGGTTTACAAAGTACACAAAGTATGTGTTCATTCATGATTAGTAACATTATTACACATTCTGACTTATTTCACATTGTTCTGAAAAAGCGTTAGCATCATCTCAGTTTAACATTCCACTAAAGCTTCGTAAGATTTGCGGAATACTTCATTTTATACAGTTGCAATGTTTATATAAAAATTGTCAGGCAAAGTGACAGAGTAGCAGAGGTAGTAGAAGTATTAGTAGTATTAGAAATGATAAGGGATTTAAGGTAAGATTCGAGAAAAATCACTGAAAATGAAAGAGACAGAAGATATAAAGAATTCAGAAATTTGGAATTTAAGAGAAGACAACGAATGGATGTATCTGCGCCACTGCAAACGATTTTGAACCATGTCATTCAAAGTTTCCAACCACCGGTTACAATTGTCACGTAGGGTTAGCTGGACATAGATTAGATTAAAGCGTGTTCCATACACGACTGCGTCGTGGCACGCTGATTGGCTCTTTCGTATTCAATCAGCCCTAGTCGATACTGGGGGAACATTCTAGAATCTGTAAATACACTAACGTTAGGGACTTCTCTGTTTTCCTTATAACCTTGTTATTGGAATATAATCTCTTTTCCTGTTTAACGGTGTTCTGATTTGGGAGAACGTCTCGAGTGAATTGGTGTCCGAGAATGCTAAGCATTAGGAATAGCTAGGTTGCAAAGGGGGAGAGAATTATAACACGCAGACGCCAACCAGGTATCGTATACCTAATAACGTGACTCAGTTCAACTGCCGACGACCTCGAGGGCTGGTGCTGTTTCGGCTTGGTGGCCACTACTCTTCTTGAAGCATACTCCTAAACCCGAAAGCATCGCCCGTTGAGGAAGCCGGTGGTTAAACATACGTAACATATATCCCAACTACCTTAGTTGATGAAGATTCACTGCTTCAATAAGCGGTTCGCCATCCTAAACCAAACAACAATATAATTCAATCATCAGAAATTCGAGAAGACCTACTCGATAAAGCGAAATCTGATGCAAGCATTATGAAAAAAGTAGTAAGTTTTATTTACTTCAAGTGAATTTTAATGCTGTGAATTATGATATGCATAGCACTGTTGGTTAGTCACAACCAAATAACAAGAACTGTAAGCTTTTGTTTAGCATCTTTCATCAGTACTAAATTAAAAGCAATACGCAAGTACGTTGGCTTTAATCTTCTGAAGTGTAGTAAAGTTAACTAATTCAGTCTAAAATCCAAAGTACTTATAGCCTTCCCAAGTGATAACATTTGAAATATTGGCGATAAACGAGTTGCTTCTTTGCATTTGACAAGTCTGCTTTCAAAGATTTTGTCTTCATTTGCTGATCATTGGTTATTGTAATGTACGTGTGTGTCTAACAGTAACATTGATAATGTGTTTGATACTTTACTGAACAGAAGAAGATTTAGAAGACATATCAATCCGTTCTTCTTATTGAATACCATGTTATGTATAAGCCAATTGAGTCCTCTGTATCCATGCCGAGGATTCGTAAGACACCAGGCCATCAGGACAGATGAGACTCCCAAGATGAGTTAAGCGGTTGACATGCTCAACTACTTGTCCTCATCGTTAATTGAACTGACGCGAGCCAATCGCGAAACAACATTCACAGGAAGAGAATCCCATCCCACACATGCTAGCATTGTTGCTTGAGATGGTTAGAAAACGCTGCATTTCATCAGTGCCTTCACTAAACAGACCTATGTCACTTGCGAATTCGGAGTTAACAAGTGAATCTCATGGTAGGTCAACGCCTGAGAAGTCAGATAACAAGAGTGATAGCATGTCTATGACAAAGCTAAACGTAGGCGGACAACCCTGAACATCACTTGACGTAGTCAATTCAGACGACAATAGTGTTCGAGCAGAGACCCTGTACAAGGATGATGCACTTCACCGGTACACCTTTCAATGACAGACACTCCTACAGAATGTCACGACAAACAGAATCAAACGCCGTCCCAACTATTGTGGGACGTCAGAAAGTGTGTCGCTGTTCCTCGGACCCATTTGGTCTGTACATCCACCTCTAGTTCTGAAACCAGTCTGCTCTTCACGAACTCTAGTTGAGCGTTGAATGAATGAATGCCAGATCTGAATTCCTATCTGCTGCTAATAACAAAACTAAATTTAAGCTGCGATTTGAACACAAGAGAAAAGGCGCTTTGATCAAAGGTTAGTTTAGGCATAGACGATGAAGCTATTTATAGTTAATAGTGACTTTGGGCTTCTAGGAGGTTCGAGAATCATACGAAGGATAGTTGAGGTATGGTTAAATACCTGATTAGAATTGAGGAGAGTGGATGCATTTTCTAGATGTTTCTGTGAAGGTTACATTCAATGCTGACTGGATGAAATGTTTCATGGAGTTTCTGGGCCATAATCAAGCAAGCAAACTAAATTCTAAGGGATATAAAAATTCGACATTTTGACACTGAAAACATTCCCGTTGATAGGTATTCAGTTAATAAGTCATGAGGCATTATGTTGAAGATCAATCTCAATGAAAATGTATAATTGATGCATTCTTACAATTGCGAGATCGATCGATGCTGAGTGCAGTTTTTGAGTTTTGTTTAAGTATTTATTACCTCGATTATTGTTGAGGACGTTAGATCCCCAGAACTCACTTGGAAAGGTACTGATTTTGTAATTGATTTAGAAAATTTCGAATTTTCATGTTTTCGCGCCAAAGACGCTTAGCTGACCTTCAGCTTATATTTCCTACCCGGAAAATCCTAGACTGTCATTGGTTGATGGATTATTTGAGTACGCCATTTCGTGGCTCTCCCAAGGGCGTTTCTATTATTGTATAAATAAGCTTGATTTGTGTGCTTGAGAACCTCAACCTTTCTTAGTGCCTGTAGACTACATTCTCTATGTCTTATCAAAACTTCTTGTTCTAGTTAACGGGGCCTGGGACAATCGAATTAGAATAGCCTATTGTGTCACTGTATCGTTGATCATCGTTCCATTTACCGAGTAAGGTAAACTCGTAATAGTTTCGAGCATATCAATTATCCTATTCAAGAGGGATTATTTGACTGACTTCAGTCGCAGTATTTATCAATCAAACACGTTCTTTTATTAATAAAAATATACTTTTCTTGAAATTGAAAATCTTTTTAGTGATCAGTAGTAATGAGGTTATGAGTAAATATTAACATTTACTTGTCTGTGAGATGTAAGACTGGGTTGAAAATGAAGACATTGTGGTGGTCAGGCTTGCCTATTGTGATGACCCAACCGAGCTATATTGGCTGGAACTTATGTTCCTGTAGGTTCTACCATACCAGGCAGGTCGATTGGAGAACGTTGAGACTAAAAGCAGCTACCCAAGGTCTGAGGGTGAAGTCATACTGCTGACTGTAGAGGGGTGTGACAGCAGTAAGTTGTTTCCCTTGGACAACCAGCATCTGCAGCGATGCTGCCTTCTCACAAGGAAGGAAGGGTTAGAAAAGGTTGACCCTAAAATTGTCACACCTCACCTTACCTCACGGGTTTCCGTCTCCGGCGGTAAGGGTGCCCACTAAGGGCTTTCAAGAGCGGAGCTAATCCTCAAAAAACCTTTAACAAAAAGGCCGTGCGTGACCGGCCTCAAGCAGTTGTCCCCTGGGCTCTGCGATCACGCTACCGGGTCTCCAAGACCAACACTAATCTACCTTCCTTTTCAGGTCTCTCAAGAAACAACCTTCCATGGTGTGGGCAGCCGGGAAGTGACAGCCGCCCTCATACCCGTAACAGCAACAGACCGAATCGGTCGGAATCAAATCCTTCCTACACCCAAACATACCTCTCTTCTCTCCACAACTAACTCTACTCACGTTCCCTTATCTCATTGCATCTGACTGACTGACATCGCGATGCTGCTTGGAGGTATCAAAAGCAATCAAAATACCTGTTCATTACTAACTGGTTTTCTAGATCACGTTAATTAATGATAAAAAAGGTGTTTTCATATGAAAAAAGAAAATTTGATGAAAGTACATACGATTGATGTGATTAGTGATAGGAGATGTTGAATGACAAGGTTTAGAATCGGTCACAATGGTGTACACAGGTTCGTATTGTTGTATTTCCTTGTAGTCTGAATTTCAAAACTATTATTTCATGAAAAAATTTTCCTCCAGACTAATCCTTTTTTTATTAACACTGATCCTGGTACTACTTTCTTTACTTTTTTTCATCATAGTTTTTATCATACCGTGCTAATGTGTAATCATTTTGATTAGTGCATGTGTTCCTTGTTGCTTATAACTGCCTGAAGAGAAATTCATTCGGAAAATTTAAGTAGTATAATGATGTTTTGAATAAAACAGCACATACTTTAAAAGATGGATATGTTATTAGATATAGTTTTGTTTATTACCGTAAAAAAAAAGAGAAATCCAACTAACCATCTAATGCAGTACGATCAACAGTTTTAACTGGTTGACTTTCAGTTGATTGATGATTTGATTTGGCCAAACTTGAACATTCATGAATCTCTTTTTGTTTATGACTTAAATGGAGAAGAGAAATGATGAACATTGTTAACATTAATTTGAAAATGGAAACTATTACTTTCAGTGAACAATAGATATATTTTAAATTGAGAAATCGATAAATTAGACCAATCAGCGTTGTCTACTATCAGTCTTTCTTTGAAATGCGCCTGTGATATGCCCTCATGCAAAACTTTGTAAATTTCTCCGTCGTAGGAGTTAGGGAAAAAACATTTTTAGGGTCGTCTAGGTGTGTTGCTTCAGCGTTCGGTAAGTTCAGAGGCCAACCTATTCAAAAACTCATCAAAATGATCTATCCACTTGTTTCTCTGCTCCTAATCTTCAGCGAATGGTTTCCCTTCCTTGTTCCTGACTAGTCTTTTATACTTCCTTGCTAGCGTCATCGCTATACATCAACTTTTCTTACTCTAAGAACCTTGTGGAATATAATTCAACACTATAGATTTTGTGAAAAAATCTTCAGTGTTTTACGGAATTCCTACGAGGGAATGAATTGCGAAGTCGTGTGTAAAGGCAGCTCATAGATGTATTGAAAGTAAAGATTGATGTTAGACAACGTTGCCTGCATTCTTTTTCCGTAATCTGTTGAGTAAATTATGAAGATATCTATATCACAAACGAAGCACGGAATACAGTGGGCACTTTGGACACAGCCGGACGATTTGAACTGAATCACAAGCCAGGCTTTAACTTGAAATCGCATGGCATGAGAAAACAGAGGCGGACCAAAGAACACATGGCACTAGAAACTGCAAACATACATTGAAACTGTGAACACTACTTGGCAACAACTGAAAAGGAGAGACAAGGGCTGAAATATTTAACGATCCGTTATTAGCAACATATGTCTCAAGTAGAGTGGCATGCCTAAATGTAAGGATTGAGATCGAATGTTGGAGACTTAATTATTACGTCTAGTGAATCAAAGATCCAGTGGGTACTCCCTGCCAAAAATTCATAAACTAGAACAAAACAGCTATCTAGTGCTCCTTTGTGTTCGAGTAGTGATCGATATCAAACTTATCTTGGCATAACTTAGTAACAATAATCTTTATTTATTTATTTGAACACATAAACATTGGTACTAAAGGGCATAAAAAATTTTTGAATTTATGAGTGGGCTGGTATACTGTCTGGCTACCAAAACCAAAGCAGGTGATTTTCATAGGGAGCCACCTCTGAGTTATTCATCTGCTGGTTTAATCCACAGGGCAGTGAAGCAACGTCACGAGTTGCAGTTCCATGGTAGCCGGTGACCAACAATAGGTTCATATGCCGTTCATTTCGTCAGGAAACTGGAACACATGTGACCATTGGTTTAGAATTAGGGTTTTCCGATCCCCCTCCTAGGTGGATCCTCTATACCCATCAACTTAGTTAAGGCGCCGAACATTTGCTCTTTGTTCTCTTAATAACGTAAACAATATCCCCGCCACGAATGGCAATGAGTAGGACTTCCCTGTCAGTGGCTATACACAGTTCGCTGAGAATTAAAGAATGACATATAATCTAACAGATTTCACCAGCTGATTTAGTTACGTAGATAGTAAAAAGTTACTTATACATATATATAATGTTCACACAAAGTCAAATGAGAAATATTTGCCAACAAGAGGGATATATTTTTTAGAATGTAGATCAAAGTCAATGACATATTATGCATGACCTTGATAGTGACTGAACATTTTACAAAGCAGTGCTTTAATGAGTAGCGCTGCGTTGAACATTTTGTTCAGGTTACTTCAACGAACTTTTCTCGTTGAAGAATTATCTGTAAAATTCGTCTACGGAAGTTTGTAGGTTTATGATTACTACTATAACGCAAACAACTGTAGTTGCGTCTATTTAAATTTTTTTGAGCACATAAAAATTAAGGCTAAGATGATGAATGGAAATGTTTTTACTAAGTCTACTGTATTCACTACTTTTGGTTGTGACTTGTTGGAATGTAATTTTCATGAGAAATTTAGTTTTTAAAATATTAACTTTCACTTTCCTTGTATTTCCCATCCTACATATGGGCTTTACTGCACTGTCATGTTCATGGTAGGTTATTGCAAATAATTTCATATACTTGAAATTGTTTTTAATGAAAGTTACACAATGATAAGTAGCACTTATCCATTAAATATAAATGGAAAACCGGCTGAAAGTACCGAATTTAACATATTTATTGAATAACGAAAACTTTATGCATAGTCAGTCAGTCAGTCAGTCAGTGTCAGTTACAACGTAGAACTTCGTATGTACGTATATATCAGTTCAGGTTGCCATACCACATTAGCACACAGACGCAACTGTCAGCTTAAATCCTATAGTGGTAGAGATACTAGGAGAGTTATCGGTAATGGGGAATATTAGGGATCGAAGATGATGATGATGATGAAGATAATCGCAGTTTAAATACATTTATGTGACAGAAAACAAAGGGAAAACACATAGAGAGACAGCGCTGACACACACACACACACACACTAACCTGATACAAAAATTTCCATGACATGCATCACAGGATAACAACACTAGTTGTCTTTGATTGCATGAATGATAACTGCATAGTTTATTGTTAGTACTATCATCATCTTCATGATCAGAATGAAATTGACTTTGAATAGACCTAAAGGAGAAAACATTTATAAGGGTGTAATCACGATAATAACAATAATAATAATAATAATAATAATAATAATAATAATAATAGTAACAATAATCTAACCTTGAAGATTGATAGGTTGAATTAGGAACTGGACAATTGTGCGCAGTAATTGAGCTATGAATTTTACTATAAAATAAAAAGAAAAAAATCACTTTTTTCTCTCCACAAAAAAGTTTAAAAAAAATGAATTGTGAGCAAAACAAGTGGAATTAAATTGAGAATTCTTTTTTACATTTTTATCCACGAAAGTGGGGACATAAAGGTGGTTGGGACACGTGTTACGAATGCCCAACCACCTACTGTCTCGTCGAGATATGTTTTGCGGTATAGGAATAGGTTGGATGAAAGCTAAGGGCTGCCAAACCAAAACATGGCAGAAATCAATGAAGTCACTGACAAGTGGACTGAGTCATGTCGGTAGGTGTCGACTACCTGGTTGGGGCCCGCAAGATGATAGTAACTGATGGTTAGAGACCTTGAATGACATGGCTCAGAATCGTTTGCAATGGCGCACGTGCATTCATTCTTTGTGTTATCTCAAATCCTAAACTTCAGAGTTCCTCATCACCTTTATCTTTTCTTTTTTAAGTTTATTTCACTAGATTCTACTTCTTGAATATAATATCCTCGAACCCTAATCTCTTCGACTACTGCTAATATCTCTACTACTACGGGATTTGAATTGACAATTACATCTCTGTGCTAATGTGGTATGGCGACTTGAACTAATATACGTACCTACGAAGTTCTACGTTGCTGTTAATTGACTGATTGGGGACGCATCGCATTGAAGCTACCATATGAAGAAATGGAGAGGTATTTAACAGCTATTTTCTGGATGAACAACTATCACACAATTTTATCAGTAGATGACAGTAGAACTCATCAACTATGAAAACCAGCGAGCGAAAAATCTGGTTCTTTGAAAACAAAAACCACCAAGGGTTTCAGTCGGATTTTTGAGAGCTTTAGCCTTAAGTGTAGCCAATATAATTGAACAACAAACTAAATATCATCTACAAAGTAAGCTTTAACAGCCTCTTTTATTACATTTGTGTGAATAACGTTTTTTTGACGAACGTGTCGTAATGTATTTTCACTTATATTGATGCACGCAAACAATTGTCAATACAGGCTTTGGACATGTTTTTCAACAGTTTGAAATCACTCGTATATATACATGTGACTACTAATTGAACTAGTCGTTAAACACGAATTAACACACCAGACAATTGTATCTAGTTGTGCTAATAAGATATGCTAACTTGAACCGATGCATATCAGATTCTACGCTGCATTGCCAACAGTAAAGAAGCGTAAATTGAATTAGATTTCGAAATACTCATACTAACATTTTTTTTATAAATAAACTGAGTGAGACTGTACTCTGACTTAAGAAGACAATATTACGTATAGACCTAGGTTTAGTGATTCTATGTTTGAGGTCATTGTTGAAAAGCGAAATACACTTTAATATCAATATAAATCGCAGTTGAATGCTTCAATTAAATGCTAACTTTAAAATAAATAACAATCAAGGAACCCTTGGTTTTGAATGATATTCTATGTCGCTATAAAACTGGATCTACTTTAATGTTTATTGATTGCTGATTGATTTAAACGTTAAGTTTTTACAAATTCTCTGGTTTTCTTTGCCTTGCCACTTTCTCAGATCTCAACATTTTCGCAGCCACACCAAAATGTAGTGGTTTACATGTACTGATATATGTGAAGAGACATCGTGGCGTTTGACAGGTAATTAATTAGTGTTCATTTACACGAAGATGAAGAGAGTTGATGATGTGCCAAGCTTAGAAAAATTATTTTAAAAAAATCACTTTCCTGACATACAAATTTTTGTTTAAACCTTAAATACTTTATCTGAAGAATGTATAATGATAATAGGAATCCCATTTCCTGAATTTTATTAAAACTTGGATAGTTTAAGAAATTATTTGAGGCTAGAGACCGGTGCGGAGTACAAAAACCATAAATCAACTCACCAAAAGATGCGATCACAATATTCACATTGAATTGGTAGAAAATCTGAAGAAGACATTTTTTTGAAGAATTTAAATATTAGGAAACCAAATGACAACACTTTAAATAAAAAACTTTTACCAAGCGGCAATTTTATAACTTTTCTAGAAGACTTGATGAAAACAGAAAACAACTTGGTAAAAACTGAACACACAAGTCAATCAGAGAGTACCTCAAATGATAGAGATGTTCATTAGTATAAGCGTTTGAATTTGTTGTTGAATTTTACGGTCTATATTACAGACGGACATTAATCATTGAAAATCCCAGAGGGTACCGTCGTAAACGACTTATATCAACAGTTACTAACTTCATGGACTAGTTCCATGTTCTGGTATGACTCCTCTGAACTTTTTTCAGGATTAAATTACGATTGCACGTTAAAGCGTAACCTGGTATATGTAGCAAGAGACTTAGTTGCCTCAACTGGTACAAGTTCACAATATGACCAACTGACTCAACATCCTTATAGGGAATCATACAAAAAACCTTGACATTATTACTTGCCTAACGGTTTTACTCTAGACAATTTTTTGATGACGACTGGGATCGAATAAGCACAAATTGTGCTGAATCTAAACTCTAAAAGACAATCTGAACAATGGGAGAAGGGGTATGATTCATTTTACATAAAAAACCCAATAACCCATCCATGCAACTGTTTATAAATGTTGGAAACGTTTAATGTATAAAAGCTGACATCCTATTTTTACCAACGAGCTTACTGAGGCTATTGAAGATCCGTGAATAAGCAGTGACATCCAAGTATTTGTGATATGAGGTACTCGACAATAGACTTGTAGAATACAATAGGATCCAAATAAGATCATACTTTTAGCAAATTCTGAATGAAAACGACCAATACCCTTATGACAGACTATCTAATATTATTCTGGTCAATTTAAGTTTTTGTTCACCTTATTTTACTCTTCAAGGCAACCAATTCAAGTGGAAAACGATCTGAAAAGACCAACATATGCTTTAGTAAGCAGACTTTTAGCAACACACAATATGACTTCTTAGTATATAAGCTCGTATTTTACTGCAGAATAATATATTCACAAGTAAAAACATCTTTAATTAAATTGGTGAGTATTGATCAAAAATAAGTAGACGGTTTATCAAACGATCTTATTCTTCAGATAACAAGCGAGGAAAACTTACCTAATTGTTTACAATCCTCCTGAGAACAATGAGCCCCAATACTTAGTTCAGTCATCGTACCTAAAGAGAAGTATGGTATATCAGTTTTATTGGCAGTATAGGAATAATGATAAACAGTAAAATCGAGAATATAATCTGCTGACAAAAGCATTTATGGAGAGAGTTGTTCTCGAGTGAAAGTCTTTTTTGGTTAAATTCTCCATTTTCGAACAGTGAGAAGTGTGTCACGTTCACATGATTTTGAAATAGTGGGGAAAATTTGTAGCTCAGGTAAATGATCTGAACTTGAAAGCTTCACAACCAAGAAGAAATTCAGCTTTTTTGCTATAAATAAAGAGGTGAAGAGAAGTAGAAGGACAAAACAATGTTTTCTGTGGACATATATTTATCGCACCATTTTTTTACTGGGTTTTCATCGACTTCCAGGTAACATTCGGTGTTATATGATGATTGCCTATTACTTAATAATACATAGCAGTTTTATTAAACTGATTAGAAGTGTCACGATGATGAGCGATTAACTAACATATTTTACGGATTTCAACAATGGTATCTCTAATCTAAGCGAATGTTTTTTACACTATATTATTTTAAATAGCTGTCTATAGGCGCTCATGAATAATTTAAAGGCCTGTCTTGAGCTAACTGAAAAGTTGTCTATTTTTAAGAATGATAACAGCGCTAGTTCTTTATTTCTTAAAACAAGCTTTGTTTTTTAGAATTAATTAATTAATTATTAACTAAACCAAATTAGTTCGTTTACTACCTATCTCATCTCGAATATTATGAAAAACTAGAAAACAAATACACAGTGCACTTCAAATATCAATGTGAAGAGAAGTATGAGCTCAATAATCTTTTTGTGCACACAACTTGGTATAAAGTGGTTTCAAATCACTGATAGCGTGCAATGATCCCAGTTTAACTGCTTAATTGCAGTATCTATTTAGATAATACGTAAATGAAAGAAGACATATTTACAGGGTATGTGAGTGGGCTTGTCTTCGAAGAACAAATAATCAGCTGAGCCATAATAAATAGTCGCTTAGTTAACTATCGTTAGATAACAGTAGACAGACAGGAAGATACAACGCAGAACTTCGTAAGTAAGTATATCAGTTCAGGTTGCAATACCACATCAACACAGAGACGCAACTGTCAGTTCAAATCCAGGAGTGATAGCGATAATAGAAGTATTAGCAGAAATGGAGATGATTACATTTCGAAGATATGATTCGATAAGTGTAATTCAGTAAGATAAATTTAGGAGGAGAAAGGTAGAGGTTATGAGGAATTCAGAGGGTTGAAATTTCATAGAACACAAAGAGTGGATTCACCTGCGCCATCGCTAATGATTCTGAGCCATGTCATTCAAGGTCCCTAGCCATCGATTATTATCATCTCGCGGACCCCAACCAGGTGGTCGACACCTACGAACGTGACTCAGTCCATTTGTCAGTGACTTCATGGATTTCTGCCATGTTTTGGTTTGGCCGCCCGTAGCTTTCTTCCAATCTATTCCTACACCACAAAATATAGCTCTAGGAGGCAGTCGGTGGTTGGGCATACGTAACACATGTCCCAACCTCCTCAACTGATGAAGTTTCACTACTTCATCTATTGATTTGCCATCCTTACCTAGAACTCGTTTTGTGACGACAGCATTGCTCATACGGTTGTCCCATGGTATATGAGCAATGCTTCGGAGACATCTATGATCGAAGACTAGTAACCTACGAAAGTCTTCTACTCTTAACGGCCAAGTCTCGCATCCGTATAGTATGACGGAGAGAACTGCTGCACTCTACACTCGTTTTTTGGTTAGCGAACGGATGTCTCGCCTGCGCCATAGGTAACGCAGGTTGGCAAAAGTCAGTCGAGCCTTCTGTATCCGAGCTGAAATTTCGTCAGTTACCAGGCCATCAGCGCTGATGAGACTCCCAAGATAAGTGAAGCGGTCTACACTTTCGACTACTTCACTCCCTATCACTAGTTCAGGTGCCGATGCAACCCAGTCTTGAAGCAACATTTTGCATTTCGAGGGGGAAAACCTCATCCCGAACATGCTTGCATTGTTGCCTAGGGTAGTCAGAAGACTGCATTTTTTCAGCGTCTTCATCGAATAAAACTGTCATCAGTATATTCTGAGTCAGTAAGCGAGGCTCTTGGTAGGTCTATTCCTGAAAATTCAGACAAAGATAATGTTATATCTCGCTGCATGTCTATGACGAAGTTAAACAAGAATAGAAAGAGTGGACAGCCCTGACGGACACCGCTTGAAGTACAGAATTCCAATGACAGTTTGCCATAAGCTTTCACTCGACCTGCAGTGATCGAGTAGAGAGCTTGTATGAGGTTAATGTACTTCTTTGGTAAATCTTTCAATGACAGACTGCCACAGAACCGCACGATCCACTGAGTCGAATGCCGTCTTTAGGTCCAGGAAGACAACTATTGTAGGACGTCTAGGTGTGTGTCTGTGTTCCAGGACCTGTCGTAGTGTGAAAATATGGTCTATACAACCACGCCCGGGTCTGAAACCGGCCTGCTTTTCTCTAGTCTGCAATTCACGTGCTCTAGTTAGGCGTCTAAGTATAATCGAGGCTAGCAATTTAGAAACTATATTGGTTAGACTTATTCCCCTGTGATTGTCACAATAAGATTTTTGTCCTTTCTTATAAATTGGGACAATTAGGGATTGAGACCAGTCAAATGAGATTGCGTCCAGTTCCCAGATTCTACATAAGATCTCAGTCAACCTAGCTGCTAAAACTGGACCACTATCCTTAAATATCTCAGGGATCAGTCTATCAGGACCTGCAGCTCGCCCTCGCTTCAGATTTCCTAACGCTTTCTCAACTTCATAGAGATTCGGAGGACGCATTGATTTGCCATTCAGGATGACTGGAGATTGTGGGCAACAGAAGTATGGCTGAAGGCCAGTTGAACTGATCCCTAAAGTGTTCTGCCCATCGGTCCAGTATCCTGGATTGAGAATGGAAAATAAAACCATCCTTTTCCGAGATAGTCTCACTCACATTATGGTTCCTAATACCAGTTTCCTTGATGAGTCTGAATAGTTTTCTACTGTTGCCTATTACCGCCACCCACCACTGTTCGCGATCATTCCGAAGGCTATTTATGAAAAGATACGAAAGACGATAATAGAGCTGAAATTTAGAGTAAAATGAAGGAATGAGGTGTGCCATTATGTGAAACAAAGAGAGATATTTGGATATAGAAGCTCCTTACTTTATACATAGATACACTATCCCAAGAAACTATGAACATAGTTATTCAGAGTTATTTTAAAGTAGTATAATGATAGAACTGAGGCCTAGCCTGTTAAGGAAACCCTTGAGATAGCGCAAATCTCGAATGCGCTTACTTGAGTGGGCAATTTCTCAAGTCCTCTTGAAGATCACCACAGAGGCCTACAGGTAGAATTACCTGAACTATCTAGTAAACCGTAGACCGTGATAACATATCCTTATGTTCTTCTACGGCATATCGAAAACCAGCCCACAATGCTGCTTAGTCTACCAATATTTGGTACTCACATCTTTGCTCACAGGGAATCTATTTATTATCAAGGGGGGAGCAACAATGTGGATTACGAGATATGAGTGACTATACAGATGAGTACCTACGTTGTGTTTTAAAACGTATGTACGGTGTCAAAAGAAATTTACAAGATGTTAAGCTTATTTAAAAATACTAAAATTTACCCACAAACTAGGGTTTTTGAGCTGACGTTGGCTGTTGGAAAGTGACTACTAAATCGACAGAAACACACTGAGAAATAGTAAGTGCCCTAGTACTCTTAAATAATTAAAGACTAAATCTAGGTAGTTTCACATATCCTTGCGCCTAATAAATTCCATTGCAAAAAATAATAAACCAACTAGTATAAGTTGAAGAAACTTTCAAACCCACTGATGCGTAGGCATACATCGGAAAACCAAAATATTACAAATAGATAAAACCCACCATCAATGCTTTTAGAAATATACAAATATCAAAAGGTCAGTTAGTCTATCAACATTTTGCCGACCCACATAAGGTGGTTTTAGGCTCGACTGACGGTCGGTTGATTTAAGGTACAACGTAAAAATCTGGAATTGAGTACAAAGCGACGACTCAACAGTCAATTACCTCTATTAATTAGGAGCAATTAATGACAAAACAGGCGCACGTAAAAGACAAGCAAGTTACATAGACTTGAAGCTGATAAAGTAATCCTGGATCGCGCTGCATATGTGTAACTTTAAGCTTTAGTAAGTTTGTGTCAAACTTCAAAGTACCTTGTGTGCTGAGGGAGTATAAGGAAGAATATTTGAGGTTATGTAAAGAAGGAAAGAGCAATAAAAAAAGTGAGAAATAGACAGTGAGCACATATGGAGCACTTACGTTCAATGGAGAAATCAGTCGAGAACAATTAGAAATAACACAAACATGAGATTAAGACAAACTGATAACCGAAGCTAAGAGTTGGTAGCGTAGGGCTTTGAATGCGTTACGCGCAAAACAAAACAGAGCCCTGTGTATTCAATACCCAATATATTTTTAACGAGCAAGTATAAACCAATTGATTTCTTTGCACTCGATTCTTGTTCTTTCGGTACGGATCCAGGTGTTTGGGTGTGTCCAACGGATCGTAGTGTATCCGGTTAACTTCACTAATTATTCTCAGTTGACAGTTAGTTATGAAGTTTTGTCCCGTGATTCAAATGAGAACATTCATCGTAAAACAATAGGATTTTTAGATACAAGCAGGTATCATATTGTTAGTTCAGAAATCGTTTAGTTGCAATGTGAAGAATAATAAGCAGAAATTCCAATTCTAATAATGTTACAGAACAAAGCAAATACATGAATGATTAAGTTAATTAACTAGTTGTGAAGATTGTGCAAGAGAACCGATATGTAGGCGAAGGAAAGGGAACAGAGATTGAAAGCGAGATAGAGAGATAGACAGATAGATAGGAAATGACAGCAATAACAACTAGCAAGTGTTAAGACATGCATCAAGCACAGCTTGTCCAAGAGTACGTGTTTATCAAGATTCTTTCCAAGGCTACCCACAGGGGGGGGGTTGTAGCAATCTCGGCTTGAAGAGAGTTTCAAGTTCCAAAAACTCTTACTAAGAAAAGGATTGCACGAATTCAGGTGTCCGCTCTCTGTTGTACAATTTTTCAAGGGCTACATCGAAGGGCGTAGCGGTGATGCTTCGATAAGATGCTCATGTTAGAATGATTTGGCAGGATTAATACGTTGTGTGCTATTATCAGATCACCTCTGATTACAGTCCCAAGTGAGTAAATCTTCGAAAGGTTTATTCTTCAACCCTATCACTCATTTAGTTGATCGTCTCCGCACTTGACCCAAGAGAATTGTGCCCCTTTAAAAAGAGATAATGTTGGGAACCTCAAGGTATGGGTGTGCATACTTCTTGAACAGTGTTGGGAACGATCTTCAAGAGACGTAATCAAATTGTCTTCACATAAAGTGAACAGTTGCGGTAGCCTTGGCAGCGTCTTATTTTCGGTTCAAACCGGTGTTCAGGCTTTCTGTGGTTATTAAACTGAGATCACATTCTAAAGGAGACATTAGAAGCAGTCATCCACCGAGGATACCAGTCGTTTGTGTCATGTTGTGTAGAAGGTTCAGAACGTGAAATTTTGACTACTCATTGACAATTAAAATGTAAATAAACGTGAATTTATTAGTCCGAAATCCGATAACCTTTTCACGAGCAAGAATAATACGGTTGATTACTTTGCGCTCTGTTTAAATCCAGGTATGTGGCATTGTCTAATGGGTGGCAGTCCTGCCACTCATCTGTACTAATTCAGTCTGTTTTAGTTTAGAGAGATGGGCACGGTGGTCTAAATACTAGAACAGCACTTTCAGAATAATCCCTCAAAAAATTTCACAACCATGCTAGTTCAGCTTGCGGAAAAAGGCCTCTCACCCTTGCATATTATCTGTGGGTCAAGAATTTCTGTTGATAAGTCAGCATCACGGACTTCATTGTATCTGCTGATCGGAGCAAGTGGTGGTGGATTGACGACTCGTCCCCATGATAGGGAATGTAGTTCCCGGATAGGATATGACCAGTTTTACGACGTGTTGTACATGTTCGTGTGGGTTAATTGGGTAAGGTTTATACTACCGTTAGGTCGTGCTACGATAGATAGGGGAATCAAGGGCCTGATGGGAAGGTATAGGTACCTAGTTAGCTTGATAGGTCATATCCATGTTGGAGGGCGGGTAGGCTTACTGCTGTAAGTCCTACACGTTCTTCCGGTGTGGATTAGGGGATGAGTGGGAACCCTAAATAGAAGTGTCATTAACGCCTGCTCTTTTTGCATGCAGGGATTTTGCGGGCCGGTGTAGAATCCTTTTTGAATGTTTTGTTTTTTGGAAAATCCCTCCATGTTTACATATTTTTGTTATGACATGACGGACTCTTTCTGTTGACATTTTTGGTATTTTATTTGATTCCAATTTGAGATTTTATCATTGTATATTGTTATTATTTCTATATTTTGTACTTATATTGAAGTTTTTGTGTTTGCTTCTGATCTGTATATATGTTGTTTAAATTTGATCTTTAATATGGCTACAGCCATATTTGGATTGATACAGTGGCGGTTGGA